GTTTGGCCACATGACGGGGTCGGGCCTCTTCAGAGACTGCTTTGGAGGGCAAGGCACGAATTTTCGACCGAGTAGAAATCGAGCCTCCTCGTATCATCACACCTGCTGCCCTGGGTTTGGGCTTGCACGTGTATGTGTAAAGGAGGTACATTGGTCACAGTTCACATATACGAACAGGCAGCGATGCAATGCGTTGGAAAGTCGTACAGTACATGCATATAGTGTATTGATTGTTGTGTGTATATTAACATATGTGCATATCTACGGTCTTACAAAAGTCATACTTGTATTGACAACGTGCGTGATACGGTCAGCAAGCGGTTAAAGAAGCAGCTGCGGTTGAGGCAGGTATGACAAACGATGAAACCAGGTTTTGAACAACTGTACGTGTTGATGCTGTTGTGTTTGCAATCAATGTGCGTTCTCATGCGTTAGTACAAGCTTATAGCGCCAAGGCCGTCCGCGTGGGCCAGCTGAGCATCGTGCGTCGCTTACTGGAAGCGCGCGCCACCTGTCACATGGATGGACTGTGGCGCAACTCACCAGTCCGCGTGGCGCTGTCCATGGGCCATTTCGAGATCGCCAATATGATGGGATACGTATTTGACCACGTCTTTACTCCCAACTCTTCGAATCCGTGAAGAAGCGATGAGCGCAATGATGCAGTGAGCTACCAGCGCAGTTCGTCCATCTTGCTGTTTTCTCTTCCGGTGTCAGCTTGCAGACAAAAAGCTACGTCGTCAATGGCGTGGCTGACACCAATGCTTCTGTGGTGCATGTGTCTGAGACAGTCTTGTTTATGTATATCGTTGGATCTACCAGACCCAAGCCTGTGCTATCGCTGCTTCAAGGTTGAATCCACGTCATTGTCTGCGCCTGTCCGTGTATGTATATACATATTCTTTTGCTGCGAGCCGTGGACCAGCGCAGGAGAGAAAGTCACGCCAGGGTTCGGGGCTTGTCTTGTAGCAAGCCCTAGGCCTACGCCGTGTAAACTTTACCTTCCCTAAGGCTCTTGGGCCCTCAAGACCCCTCCTTGTAGGGGGTACCAGTCCCTCTGTAGGAGGGTCCTTTGAGTCTTAAGGTTGTGAAAGGGCTTCTGAAGTTGGATGAGTTTTGAGGCTTCAACTCTATTTACCTTTATGGGTTGTAGGTGGGGTTACAAGCCAACGTCGAAAACTCCCAAACTTCGACCAGGCCAAGAAAACCCTGTAGCCGGTCGGTCACGACTACGTCCAGGCTGAACTCCACAGACCCTGACGACGCTCCTCCTTGAGTCAGGCGACCGGGCCTGTGTTCTTGTGTGCACTTTAGTGTGTTTTTGATGCAGCGACCGGGATTCTGTTGCATTATTCCTCAAGGATTCCTGCTCTAGAGGTAGATAGGGTTCTGAATGGGGGTCTGGAAGGACCTAGCCCGTGGTGCGGTGGTTGAAATCCTTCGTTGGTTTGTACACTACTGGGGCGACTCTGGGAAGGGAAGCTGCGACAGGGGCGTGGATAAGGCCTGGGAAGTGAACGACGGTCCCTGGATACATTCTGCTCTGTCTTGCATTGCGCGGCTACCAGACTTGGAGAGAAACGCATCAGAGGCTGAGGCCTTGAGGGGCCTGCTCGAATCCTGTCAGAGACAATCCTGTCTCCCCATCTTGGCCTTGGGGCTTAGTAGTGGTCTGCTGGTGGGCATCCTTGTTGGGTGGCTAGTGGCGAGAGCTCGTGGGCAGCGAGAAGGCCGGAGCTTGGAGGCTGAGTTGAGACCCAGCCGAGTGAACTTGGGTTTGCTTAGCAAAGGCTCCAAAAGAGCAATTCGAAAATTGAAAAAATCATAAACGAAAAGCAAAAGGCTTAAGCAAACTGTGGGGTTTTTGATAGGGGTCGCTTGGAATGAAAACACCATGCTTGTCCACCATCTTTGTGAAATTTTCTGCTACAAAATACCAAGTTTGTCCCATCATTTTGGCTAAGGCTTAAAGCTTGGAAGGGGAGAGTGATGGAACACACACACACACACACACACACACACACACACACACTCACACACAGACACCCACGCACGCACGCACGCACGCACGCACGCACCCACACACACACACACGTACACTTGCTATCATGAGTCAGTGTTTGCGAGCATGTGTTGTGTCGAGATCACACACACATGATGTGTTTCCGTTCTTGCGAAGGATGGGTGTGTGTGTGTGTGTCATGCTGTGCCATCGCAAGGCAGGACGCATTGGCCTCAGTCCGCGAGTCTCCTGAGTGAGCATTAAGGGCTTAGGCTTAAAGGGCGTAGTTCGACCTAGGTGCTCAGAAGTTTATATTGTATCCCAGAAACCTCAAACCCTAAAGCCTCGGTTAAGTTCAAACCCTTAACTGTAACACCCTAAACCCTATTAAGCCTCTAAGCCCGTCAACCCCCTAAACCCTCAACCCTAAGCTCGCCCTAAACCCTCCATTCCGGCTTGACAAGTACACCCTTAATCCTTCTGTTTGTGACCTCTAAATCCGAAACTTACAAGCTCAAACCCTAAAACCCGAACCGATTACGTGGGTTTTTTGTATTCAAGACTTACACCCCCGCCCTCCAGGTAAACCCTCAATGCCGTAAAGCCCTACACCCAGCGTCTTTTCAGGGCCCTGCAGGCAAGCTCGGCTCCATCTTCAACGAAAGCTGCTGTGATAGCGCCTTAGGAGTACAAGGCACTGTGATAGTGCTTTTGCATAAAGCGCTGCGATAGCGCTGATTAAATGAAAAGCACTGTGATAGTGCTGTGACTGAAGACCGCTGTGATAGCGGCAACATGAATCAAAGACCGCTGTGATAGCGGCACGCTCGTCGATGGGACTCAGTTCAGGATCCATTTTGGCATTACATTTTGAAGGTTTCAGCAGAAATTTAGATGAGGCCTAGATTTGGGAACTGGACTTTGTGATGTTTGGGCTCCGGGCAGTCAGAGTAGAACAAGGCCACAGGCCTCAATCATGTTCAGTCGCTTTTGAAATTTTCGACAACCATATATCATGAGTGTAGCTCTGAGTATAGATGGGACTGGCAATATGAACTCACCACATGTTCATCTCACTTTACAGTGTCCCCCTCTGCAACGCCAGGGCTGCCTTCAAATTCTGCCGCCCCAAGGCTGGAACAGCTGCCTCGGCAAGAAGGCGCACGACGACTCAGTGGGAAAAGCCGCAGCCCTGCTCCAATTCCCAGCATGCAGTGCATCGCAGTTTTCCGACGTTGAGCAGTCGAGTCGGCATCTTCGTGGTCACCTCAGGTCGAAATCGAGAGGTCGAAATTGAGAGGGCGAAATCGAGATGCACGGGTTTGTGAATGGAAGCACACTATGACTGCGCAGCCGATACTAGTGCGAAAGTCGGGATGCTTCGTCAGGAGCTTCGGAAGATATCAGCTGGGTCAGCATTCCTGACAAACGCAGCATAGACTCACGTCTTTAGGAAGCCAACGACTGTTCCGATAAGAGCATGCCTTCAGTGGCCCTCAGTTCCTTGAGCTGTAGGGAGAAGCCACTTCCGTCGGCACCTAGGCTGTGGGACATGGATATGGATGACATGGCCGCGGTCTGCAATCAGGCGCTGGGATGTGGGCCAGGGATTCGGCAGGTGAGGTAGGCTCGGGGTCGGGGTCACGGTTTGCCACCTCCAAGCGTTCCTTGAGCAAGGCGTCGTGGCGATCCTGCAATGACAACTGTGATAGGCAAGCGCTAGCTCTGGTGTAGCTCCAGCTCCTCAGCATCTTGCTTCTCGCGCTCCGCTTCGTCATAGCGCTCCTGCAGTGCGAGAGTGCATGAGAAAAATTATTCTTACAAGAATGGACATGTTGGAGGGTCCTGAAGGGTCGAGAGCTTCTGCTTGAGGTCCTCCAAGTTCCCTTGCAGAACGTGATTCTGCTCCTGCCACACAACTTAATCTTCCTGGCCAAGTGCACGGAACTCTGTCCTGCTCCGCCAGGAACTCCGACGTGCGCTGGTCGCTGGTGGCCTCCCCAGGGTTGAACGCAAGCAAGCTGTGGAATTGTTGCTTGTTTCACGATTTAATTACTTCATAGAGAGACTAAGACCGCCCATCCTCCATGATGAGCAGCTGCTGCGCGAAGGCATCGTTCTCTGCCTGGTCAGACTAAGCACAATCTCAGCCATAAGTTTCACCGAGATAGTCTCGAGAACTCCTACCACCCCTCACCTTCAGCTCCATGTTTTCGGCCTTTGCCCGTTTCAAATCCTCATCGCACGACAATAAGTTGAGAGCTGGTGACAATGCGCACTGTCACTTGCCTGCTTGATGCTCTCATTCTCGCAGACCGCATCTTTGAGCAGCTTGATTTCTTCATCTTTGGCCTGTTTTCTAAAAACTATACTCAAAACAACGTATGTAAAAGTCACAACATTGTCGAGGGCATGATTTGCAAAATCACCTTGATCACGCCAGTCTTCTCCGCGTAGGCTTTCTTGAGTTGGGCGTGCTTCTTCTTGTCAGCCTGTTCAATGAGGCAGACTAATCTAACTGACTTTGCCGAACATGTGAACCCAGTCAATAATCCCAATTTTGCAGAAAGTCTCTGCCCTCTGTCAGCCTCCGCCGCCTCGAGCGCTCGTTGCGAGCTTGCCTTCTCCGAGGCAAGGCTTTTCTCCAGGTCTTTGTTGCGCTCCTGAACCCCGAAGCACCAACGCTACTCAGGTGACTTTGTCTTAGGTGATTCAGGCTTCGGCAAGCTTCGGCTTGAGTTAAGTGGCGGGTTTAAACTGTCTGTCCTGCAATGCAGCCATCCTCATCAAGTCTTCCATAGGCCTTGGGCGCTCTGCCATCAGCCGGGCGGCCTTTTCCTGGCTCATGAGAGGGGGCCCGGGGTGCTTATTGATAATCCCTCCCCAGTTCAGCCTTCTCGCCAAAAAGGTTCTGCTCCAGCGTCGCTACACGCCCCTGTGTCATTGACTTTGATCTCAAAGAAATAGAAAATCGACAACAAGAAGACTGACCCAGACAGCCTCTGCCAGCAAGGTTCGTGATGCGAGAGGGCGCAGGGAGCCGATCTCCTGGTTCAGTGCGGCCACACTGGCCTGGCCGGGGGCTGCAGGATGAGCTTGAGTTGTGGGTCAATTTGCTATCCACATTCAATTTAGGGCATTATCATAACAGCGACAAGCTAACCGGCCTTGCTTTCATCTAGCTCGCGACGAAGCAACTTGTTTTCTGAGCGAAGAGGGTCCCGATCCATCTGACGCTTGAGATGGCTTGTGGTTCTCTTTCTGGGATCATCTGTTGTGCGACCGGCCCAGTACTCCTCAGCTAAGCTCTGGCGGTCGCGGTAGCCACCCTTGTCCTGGCGACGCCCGCCACTACTTCCATTGCCACGCCATTCACCGCTACCCCCCCAGCCCCTTCTACCGGGACCGTCCGTCATTGCCCTGAAAATCCTGCGGGGATGCACACAGCTTTGACTGTGCACGACGAACACGTGTTCTGAAGGCTGTGAATGCTGTGACACGCACGGCAGTGTGACATTCGTGACATGGGTGCAGCACATGGTAATGAAGTGAATTTTGGCTTCCATTACCGAGCTTCCTGCTGAGGCAGAACATCACCGCTTGGGTCTGGCGCCCAGAAACCTGCTCGACAATCCAGGCGGACCCTAAACCCTAAATTTAAACCCTAAACCCTAAAACCCTAAACCCTAAACTTGGGGGGATCACGCTGAAGGAAGCTAATCAACTGTGTGGAAGCGAGTCAGCAGTCAGACAGATAGAGGCATGCGAGCTTCAAGTGTAGCAGCAAAGCCATGCCGTCAATGTGTGCCACTTTGCATTAAGTCGCATGCCTCTGACGCTGAGGCAACAAACTCTCCGAGTTCGGCCGAGCTGGTATGACCTGGCAAAGGCCCACGTGTTGAAGTCTAGGTTCTATACTACTGACTAGACTGAGTGGTTTGTTTTACCAATCACTGCTGATGCCCAGACATTCTTTGACAAAGTACAAAGCGAATACGCAGTTTTACCAATGTGTCTGCGTTTTACCAATGCCTAAGCGTTGGTTGGGGGGAGCTCTTGTCGGTGTTGACTTGGAGTGCGGACCAGGTTGGGGCCTGTTGGTCGGGTTTTAATGGGCTTCAGGTTCCAGGCCCAGCAGTTGATGAATCTTTTCTGCGCTGAACTTGATCGGAACATCCAGCCGTGCCAGGCCGGGAGTGCAACCGTACTTAGCCGTACTTGTCATACAATTGGCAGTCTACGCTGTCGCCAAAGCCTTTGATTTCTGGGCTCTTGTCGGCTTAGACTTTCTAGCCTTCGCCTTAGCCTTTGCTTTCGGGGACTTAGCTTTTGATTTCGGGGACAAGTTGTTCAGGTAGGCTTTGTCTTTGCCTCTCTCAAAGCGGGAAAGCAACTTGCCAACATGTTTGGCGCTCCAGGGTTGCCCTTTGTTCGGCCCCTCCCGCACACACCATCTCTTGGGCTTGTGCTTCTTCAAGTCTTTAGCCAGGTGAGTTAGGTTGACGTTGCTGCTTCTGCTTTTCTGGCGGATGTAGTCGTAGAGGTCACGGTCGCCGTCAAAGGAGTTCTTCGGGCCCCCAAGCTTAGGTTTGCCGCTCAAGCTTCGCGGTGCCTGCCCATCGGCCGCCACCTCAGAGCGCTTCTTCTGCCTGCCCTGAGACAACCGATCCCGGATTTGAGCTGCTGTGAACTGCGACACCGACCCCAAGACCTGTCTAAGAAGCACTGCAGTGGGAGATTCGTCATTCATGATGGCGGCCCCTTGATCAGCAGTCTCGACACGCAAGCCTGCTTCTCGCAGCCACTTGAGGCCCGTTTCTTGCACTAGGACGTCACGGGCGAATCTGTCAGCACACTCCAGCAGGATCAAGTGGATACCTTGTTGAATGCAGAACTTCGTCATGCTACAGAAGCCATGTCGATAGATGAGCGGGTCACTGCCAGAGACAGCAGGGTCTGAAAACCGACCACGTACAGTGTACTTTCTCTGTTCTGCGTAGGCCAAGCAGGTACGTAGTTGACGGGATTCTGAGTCCTTTCCCTCACCCACGTTGGCAGCCGAAGACGTCCTCATGTACACAACGCATGTCTGAACCATGGCCGCTAAACTACCGAATTCACCTAGGCCTTAGGTGACTTGAGCCTTGTGCTCCACACCCTGTGACAGTGAATTGAGCCATGACGATACGCGGCGCAGCGGATACGTCTAATCAGTCTGCTTCGTCTTGCACATGCATGGCAAGCTCCTGTGTCAAGTGCTTCTTGCAAAAATCTGGAGAGAAGCTGCGGACCAGCTTCCCCTGGTTAACATATTCTTGGTCGCCGACCTTCAAGGCTGGATGCACCCTTTGCCAGGCGTGGGCCAAGGAAGCCGGCTGCGCATCCACCCGAAAGAGACAGTTCATAGACCTTGGTTTGACAACCGTGGCATCACTTCGCCCTTCCCGCTTGCAAAGGCACGAAAGCCAGAGCGAGTTTCACAAGAAAGCGTTGGAGATGCACGAGCACAGTGGCAGGCAGACTTCAGATGTGAGCAGCAAGCATCATCCTCCGCAGCTTGAGTTCCAAGAACTCGTCCGGGTTCTGCGTGAGGAACGGAAAACACTCGGTCGGGCGGGTGTGAGCGGCATCGGGTGGCAGAAAAAATGCAGGCAGATGCTGTGGTGCCTTGCAGAGAGCAGCCGCGAGCAGAAGCGTGTCTTGTGGACTCCACGCCGACTTGACAAGAACTTTACTGTTTCATGCACGATTATGCAAGACGCCCGGCGGAACAAACTGCGGCTGCGGTATGTGGCAGCAAACAGCCGGATGGAGATTCGCTCAGGCTATCTGTGCACAGTGGATATGTGCGACGCGGGTATGGATTCAAGCGCCATACGCAAGGCAACCGTTTCGGCTTTGCGTCAGTTTGCCACCCCGAAGGCTGACATTGCTTACAATACACATCACCATCCGGTCGGTGCCATTGACGAGTCTTGCCAGTTTTTCATTCGCTGTGGTCAGTTGCTGAATATTCTTACGATCAGCCGTAGTAACCAGTCAAGCCCCGAATCAGACTAGAAACTTTGAGTTCGTTCATTAGTCTTGGTTTCTCAATGTCAATGACTGAACATATTAATCACTCGCTCAGTTTTCCAGGAGCAGCTTTGCAGCAGCCTGCTGGATTCTGTGGAAGCGTTTGTGAGTGACGCTGCGTATGATGAAGTCAAGGCCGCAAGGCTGCTTCGCGGAAACGGGGGCGATTTTGCCGAGCTGAAGAATCTGCGCATCCTTACGCGGGACAAGCCGCATGCTTCGCGGCGCAACCTCTCCCGTGGTTGGGCTACAGATGCCTTCCTTAACGAGGTTTCGGAGCGCTTTATCTTTGGCCAGAAGAGTCCGGCGCGACTCATAGAGTACAGCCCCATGTTCTCCGCAGTCTTTCAGCAGCGTGTGCAGCAGCTGGAAGATTCGCTGCGGGCTGTCAAGTCGCACCCAAAGCTGGGCGATTTGCGCTTCGCCCCGCATCGTTTCGAATCTGGGAGGAAATTCAGAGTGTTTAAGTCTTTCATTAACGAATCATACAATAAACTACATCGGGCCAATTTTACCAGTGGCCGTCAAAGAAGGACTCGTGCGCAAGGCCTTGTGGGCGTGCGTGTCTCTTCCTTCATCCACTTCTACTGACTATGGTTCAAGTGGCCAAGGATCGCAAGGGGAAAGAAGAGGGCCAGGCGGCCGCTGATTTTCTGAGCTGGGTTACTCCAGAACGTTGTCTTCAGCTGGCAATGCAGGCAGACGCGGCAGAGGAAAACTTGACATTCACACGCTCCCTTGACCGAGAGGTTTTCCCGCTGGAAGATCTCACTTTCACTGTTGCTGGTTTCCGCGATCGATTGGAAGCCTTGTTTGCTGCAGATTCGCTTGACGAGGCTGTCTGCCTAAAAACGGGCTACACCGCACACATGTTGCGACTTCTCCGACAGCCATTCATGCTGCCGTCCGGTTCCTTCTCATCCGCACAGGGTGTTCCGGCTGGTGTGGTGAAACGTTGCCTTGGTCGAATGGCAAATTGGACATTGGTTGTACGCAAAACATTGGAAGCTGAGTTTCCTGTTTTTGAGACAATCCAGAGTTTCGGAGCCTTCAAAGTGACGCCTACGATTGACAACCGCATGTCTCAAGCATCCTTGGACCGCGTAGCACAGTTTGGGCACTTGGTGGATGTCTTTCGCATCGCGGTGGATTTGGATAACGTGGACGCGGAGTTCATGCGACTGCGTCACATAGCCATGCGGTTCGCTTCGCAGCAAGGGCTTTCCTCAGGACAAGGGATAGACAGTTTAATGTTTTCCTGGCAATATTTTAAATTAAGTTTGGATCAAGAATAATTTGTTTGAGACTAAATTGAAATGAATCAGGGGGCAGAGTATTAGTATTGCACGCAGGTTCTCGCAACCAACGCCGCCAATCCCTGAATCTTGTTTATTATGAAGAGGTAAACAACGCGCTCATAGTAAATCCTAATTCCGTAAGTTAGTTTAGAAACCTCACAGGGCGCCTGTCTAATTCATATCCAAGCCATCCTGGTCAAGCCGAAGCCGAAGCCAATTGAAAAGGTCGACCAGGAATAGTTTGTTCCCGAATTTCCCGGTAACCATAATAATAATAACACAGGAGCGGCTTGGGCTGAGACAGTGAAGGCTACAGCCTCGAGGTCCGAGCCACCTCAATCTTTACTGCCGCTTTTGGTTCGGTTTTGGGCGTCCTGTGGTTCCACAAGTGGCGTGGAGCAAAGTTTTTCTCAAGGAAAAGCTGTGCATGAGAGTCTCAGCGACGGTCACCTGAATGACGTGATGGAAGTGCTCGACATCCAGAGTCACGAGGAAGTCTCTGTGATCCAGAGAGCATGCCGATTGTGGACAGAGGTCTATGGCAGGCCACGTTTGGCTGGTCGTGGCAAGCGCTCAATCCGACAAGATGCTGGGAGAAAGAGAATCGTCTGTGAGTCGGCCGGAACGCCCTCAGAAGCAGGCTTTCTGCGAAAAAGATATCGTCAGGTCTCTGAAGCTGCAGGTCAACCGGCCCTGGCATCGTCAGCCAAATATGCTCTGGGCGCAGATGATTGGTCCGCGAAGCATGAAGCTGAGGCGGGGGTTTGGGTGAACCCTATTCTTGATTTCCGGAAGTCCTTGGCCTACCAAAATCTTGTTGCAGCAGAACTGCCGGGTGAGTTTGACGCTGTGTTCATTGTAAGTAAGCCTGGGCCAAATTAAATTTGAATTATTTCTTTCGGGGACTTGTCAATGTACAAGGAAGCGATGTGGATTCAACTAGAATTGAAGCCTGCGATGAGATAGCGCAAACAAAAATAAATCATGAGAGCTTGAACTTAAGCGTCCCACATCCGGAAGGTGAAGTTTGTCGAAGAGAAGCGCCTCCGACGAATGGCGGAGGAGATAGCCGCTGGCAGATTCGACCTTGCGGAAGCGGCATCCACCAGTGACCTGGCCTCCATCCTCGGCATCCTCCAGAAAGACAAGGACAACGACAAGGCGGCCGTGAGAAAGTCTCAGAGGCAAGACCAAGAGCTGGCACGGAGGCAATCGTCGGCTGCAATTGATCGTGTTGCTGCGCTGGACTGCCGGGGCGCGGTACCGCTTCAAAGGCTCACACAAGACGACCGCAATGACAAGGTTTATCTCGTTGAAGATGTGACTAGGGCTCCTGCGCTAGTCCATTGGCAGGCAGTGTTGCTTGGAGGCATCCTTTGCACAAGCCATGTCGGAGGGCCTGCCCTGGCGTTTTTCGCCAGTGTATCCTCCAGGCGCATCCTTTGGTTGAGTGACGGTTTCGTCCGCGACAACAGGGGCCTCAGCCAGCTACTTCTTGCGGGCCTTGAGCGCGCAAGCAGCAAGTGGCAGCTTGCGCAAAGTCGACAGCATTTTCTGCAGCGGGCTGTGAGAGTTAAGAATGTGGCGGTTCTCCTGCTGACAGATCCTGAAAAGAGCGACGAGGCCGACGAATTAAAAAGTTTAACCTAACCCAGGGAGGGCCGGCCTGACTCGATTCACATGTACAATACTCCGGGCGCTTGTCATTCAGAAAAATATTGCAACATAGAGTGCAACGGTTGATTGAGCTGCCTGCGCCACGTAGTCTCGTGTCAGGTGTGGAGCACAGTGCACCAGAAATTCAACGCCAGTGAGGCTTTGGCTTTTTTCCAAAAAATTGATGCATCCCGCACATGTATGGGAGCGTGTGGCCGCTAAACTCTGAAAGCAAGAAGTGCCAAATTTTGTCCCACGCATGTCTCAGTAGTCATTCTTCTTAGTCTAGCCGTTTCTGTCTCCGCGAACCACCAGGAAGCACGGTTCGGTGTTCATTCTGTATGGAATCTTAGGTCAAACCATTTCCCAGACATCCTGAGAAGTGGTTCTCGTGCACAGATGCTGCATTCAAAGAGTTAAGAGTGAGAAGGGATTGCCTTTCCACTTTGACTTTGACATTGACGTGAATTCCTGGGGGGAAAAAGGTTCTGCAAGGGATGTTGCTCGGGCTAAAATCGGATTGATTTGAGCGGTCTATTCTTAATTTGCACTTTTAATAATAATGGTAACAATGATTCATTGATGGAGGGTGGCTGAAATGAAACGGAGTGTGCCCGGAAATCTTGAAGCAGGAGTGCCTGATAGTGCCTGCTTGCATCTGCAGCGCAGCGGCGAACGCAGCCAGTTTCAAGTTTTGAAAGTGCAGTCATGCTCAGGCCTGGCTGGCGACCTTTTCCTCCGTGGCTGCAAACGCGCAAGGGGCCCAGGTTAAGTTCAGCCAGAGCCTTAAGCAAACAAATCCAGGATTCCAGCAATTTGCGGTTGAAATAGCACATGGCGGCACGCGCCGGCTGTTATTTCGGAGCTGGGCGCCCAGCTCCGAAATAAGAGCCCGGCGCGTGCCGCCATGAGACCCGAATGCTTATTTGGCGGTTGTCGCTGGCAAGCGTGTTGGCTGCTACGGCGCCGGGCGCCGGGCCGCTATTTCGGAGCTGGGCGCCCAGCTCCGAAATAGCGGCCGGCGCCCGGCGCCGGTTGTTATTTCGGGAAGCCACGGGCAAATTGCACTTTTCAGCCCTGCAACTACCATGTCATGTCCAGGTCCATGTTTGACATTTGCTGCGCGACGGTGCGCGGTGAGGGTGTTGAGTTCATGCATCGGTGCTGCTGCAGCACATCCGCGGCTCCGCTTTATCAGCTAGTGTTCGCGCATTTGCCTGCTATGGCACCGAAGCCTAAGGCTAAGGGGCTCGAGCTCAAGGCCGACTACGTCTGGGTGGGGCCGTTTCGAGTGGCTGCTGACACATTGCCGTCCTCAGACCACAATGACGAGGGCATCTCCCATGGCCTAGAAACTCCAGCTGACAAGACGAAGAAGACTAAGAAGGAGGCGGTCGTCGAGAAGCGTGCGCCCGCTGAAGCCTCCTCAGCTGCCGCAGTTAAGAAGGGCAAGGGCAAGGGCAAGGGCAAGGGCGTCAAGGCCGTGTTGCAGTCTCCGCCTGGCACAACGTCTAAGTGTTCACCATCGAAGCCGGTGCTGAAAAAGCCTGCGGCTGCGCGTGTGGCGATGAAGAAGCCTTCTGCGTCGTTTGCCATTGCCGAGTCTGCAGATCTCGGTGACAACATGCGGCTTGGCGGTGCCAGTGACGGTGTTGTGGTGCCGGTCGACAGCGACAGTGTCGAGCTGGTCGAGGACGGGGCGATGGCAGTGTCGCTTAGTGGCGGTGACGCTGGTTCTGGCGCGGCGGTCCCGGAGCCCGATTCCATGAAGAAGGAGTATGGCTGCTCGAAATGCAGACATCGGAGAAAGGGATGCCCTTCCGCTTGCCAAGTTTGGGCCAAGAAAGGCTTGAAAGGGTACCTGACGGCTCCGTGTGGCGATGGGTTGAAGTTCGGGCAGAGCAGTAGCAAAGGAGAAATGCTTCAAAGGCTCCAGGCCGCTAGTCTTTTGCCATGTTACAAATCTTGTTGGAATGATCACTGACAATGACAAAGGATGTCCCGATTTTGATAACAGCTGTCCTTGGGCCCCGGGATGCAGGAGACGTGAAGAAAACAGAATCAAGCCATTGCTCTGTATTCCACAATGTTGCAAAGATGGATTTTGCAGCCAGCCTTATTATCTGCAAAGCAAGCGTGCTGTGCTGACTGTTCTGCGGCTGTTTAGCCTTGAGTAGTGTTGCGGCGCAGATTCAATTTTAGCTCCCCTTTCCGACGAATGGCGCCGAAGATGAAGCGCAAGCCGAACACACCTGAGTTCACAGGCGTGCCCGTCCCCAAGGCCAAATCGATTCGGGAGACGCCCTGTGACGAGGACGATGGCAATGGGCCAGCCAAGAAGAAGATCAGGGGCCGGACGTTGACTGTGTCGAAGCCTTTGGCGACGTTTGCAAAGAGATTGCGGAAAGTGGTCTACGCCAGCGATTGTTCTGGCTTAGATGGAGGGGCCGTTGCCTTGAAGGAGGTCTTGGGAGGCACTGGGTTCGGGCATTGGTTTGGCAGCGAAATCTGCCCCAAGGCCCGACGGGTTTTCAACGCGTGGCATCCGAAGTGTGAGGTCCTTTACCAGGACCTAACCAAGCGAGATGTGGATGATATGAAGAACCTCTTCCAGCGTGATGTCAAAGAAACATGCTTCATCTACACAGCTGGCTTTCCTTGCCAGCCTTTTGCGAAGTGTGGCTTGCGCCGTGGAGAGGCTGACTCAAGGGCCCAAGTGATTTGGCACATCTTGTACACGGTGGAGGAGTTGCTTCCAGACGTCGTCCTGCTGGAGAACGTCTCCGACCTCGTTGAGTTTCCACGGTACAAAGCTCACTGGGACGAAATCCTGCGCCTCCTGCGGGGCATACACAATCACATCTACAACGTCGAGTTCAAGATCCTCGACTCCTGGTGGTACGGTAGAGTGCCAGCCTCAAGACGGCGCGTCTACTTGGTGGCAACCCGCCGTGACACTTGCGGTTCATGGCAGTGGCCAGCGCAACTACCAGGTGTTCCTCTTGACAGCATCTTGGAGGCAGACCTTCCGGAGGTTGACTTGGCGAAGCTTAGCAAGACAGCTTTGGCTGCCATCAATGCAGCCTTCAATGAGATCAGGAAAAAGTACCCGCAGAGCCAGCCCTTCAAGGAGCCGTGGGTTGTTGATGCTGGGGCGTCGGTGCAGTTCCTGAACTACAAGTATGATTGCCTTCCGTGTGTCATCAAGTCGCATGCCGGCACGCTTTGGCTCATGCACAAGGGTCGCTTCCTCTCCGTCAAGGAGTTGCTGCGCAGTCAAGGCATCGATCTTCATGCCAAGGGTCACAGTCACCTTCAGTGCCCGATACCTGGGGTCACAGATCCTATGATGCGGCAGCTGTTGGGGAATGGCTTCACTGTCACTGTGATCGCTCGAATTTTGCGCAGTGTCTTGCCCGCATGCGCAGTGCATGTCAGCTGACGTGCAGCGTGCGTGATGCCGGAGTTTTGATCCTCATCTGAAGCCTTAAGCAGCTCGGGGCGCAAAACTGCTGAAGTTCATGCTCTGATTCATGACAATGACAGTGAGCGATCTGCAAACTACGAAAGTTCAATCGCGGATCCTTAATTTGTCAGGCTCAGGTTGTATTCTTCCCAGGCCTCTCAGTGTGGTGCCATGGGCGGCAAGCGCAAGGCAAGCGACACGGTTCCCAAGGCCAAAGCTGGGGAGAAGAAGGCGGCGAAGGCAAAGGCAAAGCCGAAGCCGCTGGTGGTCAAGCCTTGTACTGAACTCGAGCTCTCCAAGGATTCCCTGAACGCCCACGTCCTCGCACACCTGGCCTCCTGCGATGCTACCACATTGAAGGAGGAGTGCTTCGCAGGCATCCTGGAGGAGCCCCCAAATGGAACTTGCGGGCTGCTGCCGTACGATGCAGGTGTGGCCACCGCCAAGCTATCGAAAGGGGAGCCCTACTGCTGCGCGGCGCCGCTGTGGTGGCTGAACTTGAATTGGGAACTACAGCCTGGGGTGCCCAAGTACAAGTGTCGCCTGGATTGCCTACAGAAGCACTTCTTCAGCAAGGCCGCGTTCATCAAGAAGGAGGTGCTTGTGTACGTGGAAATGCCAGAGCTGCCGCACTTGAACAAAGGGCAGCTTCTTGCTTTCGACAGCCCCGAAATCCGAGACGCCTTTCGTCAGGCACTTGCCGCGGCAGTCAACCATGCTCGTGACATGGAGATCACGGATCGCCAGGAGGCCTTGAAGCCATGGAAGGACGCAATGCTGTCCGTGCCCTTCAGGTTCAAGGCCATCGAGGCCGAGCAGCATGTGACGAACACGTTGTTCAGCCCGGACAGCATCATCCAGGAGCGTGAGGATGTCGGCGTTCTGCACGAGAACATGAGGACTTCCGCTCTCATGAGGTCCTTTGAGGTGATGGACCTCAAGCGTCAGTTAGAGTCTGGGGAGAATGCCGAGAAGCAGACAAAGCAGAGCCTGCGAGACAAGTACTCCGATATCAAGATGGCCAAGGGAAGCGAACCAGTCACTGTTACCTTTGTGGAGCAAGCCCAAATGATACACAACAGCGCGGCCATGAGTTCACCGCGTGTGCGCAATATCCTCCTGAGGTTCGACGAGCAAGGATTAGAGAATCCGATGGACTCGCTCCATAAAATTCGAGAAGTAATCGTGCAGTCCGACAAAACCAAGACCGATAACCTCGAATGGAACTTCGAGATGTTGTTTGACTTTTGGCAGACTTGTTCAGAAGGTGGCGGTAAACGTGACAACATATCACTAGGTCTCCTCGAAGGGAAGATGACCGGGTGGAACGGAAAGAGCTTGCCTCAGCTTTTCCTGTACAAACGCAGCCTGCTGCACTTCCTGTGGAAGACCATGGAGAAGATGACGTGGCATTCAGAGGTGAAGGAGCTCCTTCGCTCGGTCACCGTCAGCGTGGTCGCCTGTCGCCGCCACCTAGGCACGCTTGACAAGCCTGCTGCGTTCGAACAGCGAGCCGGGTGGCCCGAAAGCGCAGACGCGCTCTTGCTCGCAATCGAGAGCCTGGTCTACTCCTACCAGCATGATGAGAAGATCCTGGCCTCTCTGAAGAACAGGAAGTCAGTGGAGGAGTGTCTGAAGCACGCCGACTTGAAACACTTCATGGAAGCAGTGGACAAGACTCCCCCCGACGGCAACGTGGATGATGCAAACGATGGCATCGGCGAGGAAGAGGACGACGGTGAGTGTGCCGAGGCCGGTTTGAAATACAGTACCTGGCATGTATGTTGAAAATCTGCAAGCAAGCCCGCAGTCAGTACCAGACTAAAAATGTATACGCCGAATCGCTCTGCAGCACCAAATAGTAATCGTTTCGTCAGGAGGAAGGGGGCGACGCGCTGCCCGCCGTGCTTGACTGCAACAGGTCCGCTGCCGAGATGTTCATGCACAACAGCAGCGCGGATACCGACGACAAGGTGCTGGAGATGCGGAACAAGATTAACATGGGCGTGAAGGGAGCGGAGCGCAGGGTGAAAGGCTTGGTGAAGCTGGTGGCTGAGACAAGCGAGTCGAGCGACTTGCAGGCCTTGATCGCCAACACGTCCGCTTTAAAGGTTCAAGGCAGCAAGAAGCATTACAACGTCACTGTGGTTGATGCAAAGCTGCTTTGCGAGAGTGGAGTCCAAGCCAAGTATCGACCCCCTCCAACACGCCAGACGCAACTCACCAAGTTGCTGGAGGCAGCGTATGGCGCCAAAGGCTCCGACTGGACTATCGGCGACGCTATCGTCGCTCTGGATGGTGGCAAAGCAGACTTTGAGGAGAAGATCCTGAAAGCCTTGCCCCAAGCAAAGAAGCTGCACCTGACGAAGTACTATGTGACCTACACGTCGGAGTCCTTGGAAGGCAGAATCCAGCGGCAGCATCAGGAAACCAGCTTGAACCAGATGGAGTGCGTCTACGTGTTCACTGTGGAGCCGCTCTCGGTGATTGCCAGACCAAGGGCGACTATGCCGACACAGACGACGCGGGGCAATGTCATCGGACCATTGACAGCTGTGAAGTGGAGTGACGCCAAGGAGTGCTGGAACATTCGCTGGGTCGACAAGAAGAAGATGCTGGGCGCAGAGAACCTCGCCGTTCCGGATGATAAAGGTGAGGAAAAAGCGTGCAAGAACTCCGACGTGATCCCAGCCTTATTTTGGGAAAGCCCTGAGACGCTCGCCCAGGAGATTTGCCATTCTCTGGGGGCTGTCGCCGTTTTGGACCTGTCCGCAGGCAGCGGGCACTGGGCACTCAGTTGCCTTCGGCTGCGGCTTCCTTATGTCGGAGTAACGCTGACTGCCACGCACAGTTCCATGCTGGAAAAGAAGCTCACGTCCAAGGTGCTCAGCTTGATGTCGGTGTCGGGAAATTCCCTCTTCGACGCTGCCCACGCTTCTGCGCTCCAGGAGGCCACGAAGGGGCAAGAAGAGAACACCAAGAATCAAAAGAAGAGGCCAGCGCCCAAGCCTAAAGTCCGTCCTGAGCCTGCGGTGGGCCAGAATGCTGGAGAAGGTGGGCAAGATGAGGCAGATGGCGCGGCTGGCGGTGGCTCCGGCGGCGGTGAGGAGGGCGAGGGCAACACAAGCAGAGAAGATCTCCTCAAGAAAATCAGAATGACAATGGCCTGAGAAATCCCTTTCAAATCTCAGCCTCCAGCCAGTTTTGTGTCTCGGCCACCATGGCCCTGGCATGGCTGCGAGTTGCACAGACGCTCAGAGCAGGAAAGCCGCAGTTCAGTGAGCCCAAGCCAAAACTACATGCTTGAAGACATGTGCCGAATTCAAAACCACTTGTTAGCTCCCCCAACCGCTGCTCCCAGCCCCACTCAGCTCTCCCAACCAATGCTTAAGTAGCCCTCCCAACCAATGCTTAGGCATTGGTAAAACACAATTCTTTGGTAAAGTGCTTTCGTTCCCTGGTAGTTGCAAGCTTGTTTGTGGTGTCGACAAAGCATTGGTAAAGCCGATGTGGGCCTCAGCCAGGTCGTCGCGAACGTGCTCTTCGACAGCTCCGTGCCTCAGCTACTTCGGCAAGCGACATGCTTCACTGAAGCAAGAGTGTGTCTGCTGCTTCCACAGTTTTCAGGCGAAGGCTCAGACCCTAAATTTCCCGGTTGGGTTTAGGGTTTAGGGTTTAGGGTTTAGGGTTTAGGGTTTAGGGTTTAGGGTTTAGGGTTTAGGGTTTAGGGTTTAGGGTAATTTAGGGTAATTTAGGGTAATTTAGGGTAATTTAGGGTAATTTAGGGTAATTTAGGGTTCACGGTTTCGGGTGTTGCGGTTTTAGGGTTTAGGGTTTAGGGCTTAGGGTTCCCCTTTGTCCAGGCTTCCGGGCGCCAGGCGACGCCACGATGAGCAGGAACCTGAGAACAGAACATGAGTCATCACACGCGGCGCCGTGAATGCTGAGTAGTGACTGTAGAGCGAAATCTTGGAGCAGGCAGTCAGTTTGCAAGCTCGTTCCACTCCCCATGAGACTTGAATCTGCTTGTGCTCCGCAGATTTTTCAGTCAGGGTGAAAGTTCTGCGGACTGACACTTTGAGACTTTGGCCCGATCACGATGCAGGGCCAGCATGGAGGCAATGGGCAGCAGCAGTGGCACGGATGGAGCAACGGAGGCAATGGGCAGCAGCAGTCGCACGGATGGAGCAACGGAAATGGCCACAGGAACCAGGGCTCTGATCCGGATTATTCAGACTGTCAACGTGCAGAGGACTTTTTCGGTGACCGAACGACGTGTGACAGTCGGAAGACGACCCCGTCCCACATTCGACGACAAATGAATCGCCAGCCGTTGGTGGACGAGAACAAGGTTTTGCGCAGACAGCTCACCGAGTCACAGGCAGGGACACCATATGTCGCTTATCCCTGTCACGTCGCAGCCCCTGACAGGACCGGGTCGCAAGCTTGAACCAGCAGCTGGGTGCTTGGGGCCCGATGGTGGGACGTACCCAACACGCAGAGGCTGGCTGATTCTAAATGAAACAGCTGTCAGTCAATGACATAGGGTGTCGTCGGTGGCATTATTCATTTTGCTGCTCCCTGCTGCAGGACCGCCTGCGGAGCCCTTGCAGACGAAAAGGCCGAAGTGCGCTCGGTTAATTCACGCTAAAAATACATTTCCCCCTGGCGCCAGGAGAAAGTGGCCAACCTGAAGGCCGACCCCCCAAGGCCTCTGACGGAGCTGATGAAAATGGCCTCCTTGACGGACTGCAAGTTTCGGTGAATGCTCATAATCACGAACTCAATCAAGTCGAACCCTGAGCACTGTTGATGCTTTGGGGCTTCAGGAGCGGAACAAAGAGTTGGAGGAAAACCTGGCCACGAAGACGGCATGCCTCACGACGGAGCAGGCAAACCTGAAAAAGGCCCAGGACGAGCTGCAGGCTGGTGGGAACAGTTTTATTCCTTTTCAGTGTCTCATAGAAAGTTAACTCACTGGGCTTCACGTGGCTTGTAGACTTAAGTCTGGATAGGTCGAGAAGAAGAAGCGCGACGCGCTGAAGAAAGCATTCCTGGAGAAGATTGGCATCATCAAGGCTGGATTACCACGAGTCTAATTTAGCAGCGCGACACAACAATGTTTTGACAAGGGATCGCAGCGAAGGTTCCCACTCCAGCATCCCAAATCAAAGCCAATTCTCATAGATTTAATTTACAGGCCAAAGATGAAGAGATCCAGCTGCTGAAAAATGATGTCTCCGAGAATGCTCTCGCAAAGCAGGCTTTGGCAGCAAACACACATGTGCAGAGAAGTCACGCTGAGACCAGTGCTTATAAATTTTGTGACGCAAGGACGCCAAGCGCGCAAGGACCGATTGCGAAAAATGGAAGGCGAGAGGTTTACAGTGTCAGTAACAAAGATACATCTTGAGCCGGTAACTCGTAGCTAAGATTTTCCTTGTACTTGCTGACACCAGGCAAACGTCGAAGACTACCAGAGCCAAGTCGTGATTTTGCAGGATGGGGGTAATTAGTCTTAGTCTTGCTTAGCGAAACAAGTTAGCCTGAACAACAACCGCTGGGGAGGCCACCAACGAGCAGCACGCCGCGGAGATGATGCAGGAGCAAGCGGTCCTGGAGGACTGACGATGAGCTACCGTGCAATGGACAGGGAAGTCTTAAGTTCTTAGACTCTGTGCCAGGAGGTCAAGCGCACACTTGTCTACAACTTGGAAGAGATGCGTCAGCAGTATGAGACCCTTGAGGACCCCTACAACATGCTCTCTAGACATATCTGTGTCCATTCTTGACATTCGCATTGCAGGCGCGCTATGAGAACCTGAAAGTGGAGAAGCAGGAAGCCGAGGAGCTCTGAATGTGTCAGTTCTTTCTGGACCTACACTGTCAGGGTGCACCTTGTGAGATGTCTTGCACGCTGTTTGCGTCAAAGTTTTGTCTTGCTAGTTGATTGTGGCAGGAGCGCTACGACGAGTTGCTGAAGTCGCGAATGCAGGCAGAAACCCCAAACACTAACGGGGGGTAACAACTTCAATACGTGTTAGACTAAGGCTGCCCAGAACGACAAAGAGCCAACCTCACCTGCCGAGTCCCAAGCCCAAACCCTAGATCAGAGCCTGATGCACGTGATTGCAGCCGGGGCAGTCACAACCACGTCTCTGTGCCTAGGTGCCGACAGAGAGGGCATCTGACAGCGAGTGAGAAGGCATGCCCTCGTCATCCGTGAGACTATGACAATGACCTGACGGATCAAACTTCTTGCCTGTGTCAGGGACTTTGCCAGACAGACGATGATCATCTTCCAACATCATGACAAAGCATCCCGACTCCATTTATCATGCTGCGCTTGCACTAGACAAGCCCACTGCGTGCCGATTTCGACTTGAGGTGAACGCTCGGACGCCAGCCGATCATCTGGGCACTCGAGCAAAAGTGCCATCGCATTGCCTTGCACATCGTTGGACTCAATTATAACTTCTACCACAAATAAATATGATGTGTGCATTCACTGTCATTCTGGCCAAGGCAACTTTCTGGTAGACTTCTTGCTGGCACTCAAGGCCGGGGCTGGCGTTGAGGAACGGGCATGCAAGAAGAAATTCAATGTTGAAATTTAACAAGCAATTTGGGCTGCAACCAAATCAGAGTCGAGTGCAGTGTCGACACAATCATGTTTCAGGCCTGTTCCTGCACTCTCTGATGAAGTCTTAGCCGCTATCTCAGCGACTCAGCGACCTTCCGGCGCTATCGCAGCGCATTTGCATAGCGCTATCACAGCGCTTCGAAGTTTTTTGCGCTATCACAGCGCTGGTGTTCCTGGTCCTAAGGCGCTATCACAGCGACTTTACCCGCTTGTCAAAGGTGGAGCCGAGCTTGCCTGCAGGGCCCTGAAAAGATGCTGGGTTTAGGGGTGGAGGGCACTTAGGGTCTACCTAGCCTAGCGGGTGTAAGACCAGAACAAAGACAACCTAAACCCGATTACTTTCCAAGGCTTAGGGTTTCTGACCAGGGCTTGGGGTGAAAGGGGGTTTAAAGATAGGGCTTTAGGGTTTAAATAGGGTTTAGTTTAGGGTGTTAAAGTTAAGGGTTTGGGGGTTAGTTCGGGTCTAGGGTTCGGGATTATTGTCGCTCTCAGGGCTGTGCTTGGTGACTGAGGCCAATTTTTCAGACATGAGTGCCTAGCGGCAAGCCCAGCATGGGATACAATATAAACTTCTGAGCACCTAGGTCGAACTAAGCCCTTCAAGCCTAAGCCCTTTATTTTTTGCTCACTCAGGAAGTCGCGGACTGAGGCCAATGCGTCCTGCCTGCCTGAAATGCGATGGCACAGCGTGACACACACACACACACACACCCATCCTTCGCAAGAACGGAAACACATTATGTGTGTGTGATCTCGACACAACACACGCTCGCAAACACTGACTCATGATAGCAAGTGTACGTGTGTGTGTGTGTGTTCCATCACTTTCCCCTTCCAAGCTTTAAGCCTTAGCCAAAATGATGGGACAAACTTGGTATTTTGTAGCAGAAAATTTCACAAAGATGGTGGACAAGCATGGTGTTTTCATTCCAAGCGACCCCTATCAAAAACCCCACAGTTTGCTTAAGCCTTTTGCTTTTCGTTTATGATTTTTTCAATTTTCGAATTGCTCTTTTGGAGCCTTTGCTAAGCAAACCCAAGTGAAGCCCGCCCAGCGACGTCGCGGTGGCGGCGTGTTGGACCATGGAGATCGGTAGCAAGGCCATTGTCTTCTACAGCGACGACACAGTGTGGCATGAACGCATCATACTGCTCCCTTCGCAGGGTGCCAACATCTACTGGATCCTGACTCCAGATGACGACGTCTACGAGGAGGACCTCGGAGGCAGGGCTGCAGATGGACCATCCCGAGTCCGCGAAGTTCCTGAAGGTGTCAGAACGCTTCCGAACTTGAGGGTTGCCGTGTACCGGTTTCGGATGGAGTTGACAGAAGCTATCCTCCGAGATAAGGTGCGTGAGGCGCTACGTGGATATGAGGAGAGCTATGGGCCTCATCCGAGGCATGCTTCTTTGAGGGTGCGGCTGCCCGGAGGAGAGCAGAGGATGCTGATGGATTGGCTGCCTAGGCGGCGGATCACCCGTCAATGGGCAGCGGAAGCATCAGGGGCCGCAGAAGTCCCGGCCATCGCACTCGAGCCGGACGCCGAGGCCTGGGTGGTTATCTATGCTTCGGATGGCAACGGCATGGGTGAGCAGGTTACGCCGCCAGCTGCGGCGCAATTGGTCAAGGTGGGTGGTCGGGCCTACAAGCTCTTCGCGCGGGAGAACGAGGTCGTCATGGTTCAGGGCACCAAGGCCGAGCAGGCGCCGGATGTGAGTCGTCTGGCTAGGGGATCTGGCAAGGCGCAGGGCTCCGAGGAGAAGGACGTGAGAGTCCTGAGCGTCATGTTTGACACGGCTGATGAACGATGGCGTTCTCTGCAGGAGGCTGTGCCGGACTATCTAGAGGTCGACTTCGACGATTTCCCCCTTCAGGGGCCGCGGACAGTGTTTCGTGACGCTCGGCAGTTGAGGAGGCTGGGTTTCGACTGGTTGCAGCATCACGAGTCATGGCTGAAGAAGAGCGGAGTCAGGCTGACCGACAGGAGCGTCCACGAGCACTCAGCGCTGTGCAGGGTCTTGAATCTGATGACGTCGTATGATCAGCTGAACCTGCCGTCGCTTGCCAGCGCTGAGGCTTTGAACCGGAGGCGGACCTTGATCGAGGTGGCTCACCAAGGGAGGCCGGAGGCTCCTTCATATGAGGGGGCAGAAGAGATCTTGGGGGTCCGTGAGTCGGCAGACGGCTCGGTCATCGACCCGGCGCTCACCAGGCATGCTGCCCGTCGACAAGCCGACCGTGCAGAAGTCCTGAAGCAAAACAGGCTGGCAGCCGAGGAGAGGCGACATGCTCTGAGCCGTGGAGATGGTGGCGAAAAACCTGACAAGCCGTTCAAGAAGGGCGATGGCAAGGGCGACAAAGGAGACAAGACAAAGAGCACCCCCTGAAGCAGGGGGCCGCCTGGGCCGTGACAGCGCCGTGGCTTGGGCGGGGGATCTTTTTAGCGCTGCAAAGTTTTCCAATGGACCCTGGGAGCGATTTGGGGATGTTTTTCCTTTACCCCTACCTCGTGACTTGGGTTATGCCGGCGATGTGCACAGTCTACGCTCTAGGCGGTCCAGGCAACGGGTCCACAAGAGGAGGACTCTTGTGGATCGTGAGCGGGGCAGCGTATGGGCTTTGAACACGCTGGCTGGTTTTCCTGATGAGGCGGGATGGCCGTCGCACTGTTTAAACCGTGCTCAGGAGTCTGTAATTGAGAGGGTGAAGCGGGCTCACAGGACTCGCCCTCCCCCACTCGATGATGCAAGTCCTCAGGCAGCGCTTCGGCAGCTGCTGATGAAGAAGGCTGGGTCGGCCTACGGGGTGGATCAGCCGGGACAACTAGTGTCGTATTCGAGGGAGAAGCTGTCCATACCACGAGATCAGCTAACGCCAGTGAACTTGGAATCCATTTTGCCAGAGCGGGAGCGAGAGCAATTGGCAGACTTTGAGTCCCACATGCTTTTGGATGATGAGAGCATTGCACTTGTCTTGGAGCGAGGGTTTCAGGGAGATTGCCATCTTGACCCCGTTCTCGCACATGACCCTCAGAAGTATCATGAGCTCATCGGTGATCTGTACCAGGCGCGGCTCATCAGCTTCACTATGAAACCGAAAGTGCAGGTTGGGCTCTTCTGTGTTGCAAAGAAAGGCGGTCGACAAAGATTGATCGTGGATGCCAGGAGATCGAACAAACTCTTCGCTCCACCACCTTCTACAGTGTTGGGCTCAGTGGATGCTTGGGCGCGTCTGGAGGTGGGCGGTGAGTCTGAAGTGTTCCTGGCGCAGGAGGACATAAAAGACTGCTTCTACCGCTTAGGTATATCACAGAGGCTCGGAGAGTACTTTTGCCTTCCCGAAGTTGATCCTGAACTTCTGCGACAGGCGATTGGTTTCATGCCGGAGGAGCTGCAGCGGGTACTCGATGAGGACAGCGGGCCCGTGTACCCCTTCTTTCAAGTGCTTCCGATGGGTTTTTCGTGGGCTTTCCACTTAGCTCACCAGGCACATCAGGAGATAGCTCGAACAACGTTGCCAGGAGTCCCGTTCGCGCGCGATCGGCGTGCAGCTCCTCGGCTTGGGAGGCAAGCAGGAGAGCAAAGCAGAGCGCTGCTAGTGTATGCCGACAATGCAAACCACTTGGGGGTGAAGCGTGATGAAGTCGGCGAGGACCAGCGCCGCTTGATCGAAGCTCTCCATGGCCATGGCCTCAGCACACACGATGTCATGGAGCCGGCTCAACTGGGGGAATCCTTGGGGGTTCGGATCGATGGCTTTAGTGGCAAGGTGGGGCCAACAGCGAAGCGAGACTGGAACTTGGACCGGGCGCTCATGGCCTGCAGCTCAAGGCCGGCCATATCGGGCGAAGAGTTGCAGGTCATCATTGGTCATATGACAGTGCGGTCTTTGTTGCACAGGGGCGTGATGGGGATCCTTCGCCATGCCTACTCTTTCGTCGAAAGCTCCTATTGTCGGAGACAACGTTTGTGGCCCAGTGTGGTGCAAGAACTCGAGCTTTTTCGCAATTTGATGCCACTTGCAGTCGGGAGTTTGAGATCCTGCTGGGCTTCCGAGGTCCTGGCCACAGATGCGTGTCCGAGCGGATACGCAGTTTGCAGGACCGAGGCAGGTCCTGCCGAGGTTGCTGCAGTAGGGCGGGAAGATGAACGCTGGAGGTTCCACCGTGGGGGCCCCGAGCGTGCTCCACCGAGAGCCGCAGCCTTGGACACCGCTCTGGTTTTTGAGGACCCTTTGACGGTGAAGCCTGATGAAGTAGCTGGGGAGGTCCTCATTGAGAATCCTGACTTTGTTGAGGTCCCGAGAAGTCTTCTGCATCCAGATCGCTGGCGGCTTCTTTGGAACGCGCCGTTCGGCGGGAAGGAGCCGATTCATGTTCTTGAGTGTCGGAGCATCCTTTCTGCAGTGAAGCACATGTGTCGTGATTCAAGACGCCACGGGCAGAGAGTGTTGGTGTTGAATGACAACATGGGGGTTTGCCTGGCGGTGCAGAAGGGAAGAGCCAGCGATTTTAGCCTCTTGCGGCTGATCCGGCGCATTTCGGCCCATTGTCTCGCATGCGGCTTGAGGCTTCATGTACGGTGGGTGGCCTCAGAGCACAATGTAGCTGACAAGGGCAGCCGCGCTTGGGAAGGACACAAAGGGGAGCGAAGCCAGAATGGCAACAGCAGCAAAGAAAGCCAGGAGGGTCGTTGCGGTCTTCTCGAAGGCGGAGGCCGAGAAGGCAAACCAGAGGATGGCAACGTTGCATGGCGACACTTTCGAAGAGATCGGGAGGTCGGCTGGGAAGAAGAGATGCCGAAGTCCATCGCCGAAGCAAGAGCCACTTCGAAGAGCGCAGAGGCCAGCAGGTTTGACGAGCATGTTGAGAGCCAGTCAGAGAAAGAGGGATCGAGCATGGGCGCGACAGAAAAAGTTTGCAAAGCGTCTGAGGGCTACCGTGGGCGAGTTCTCGATCCTGGAGCTGGGGAGCGTGAAGGCATCAACTCAGCGGGACTACGAGAACAAGCTTCGCGGTTTCTACGACTTCGTGATATTCCATCAGCTGGAGACAAAGGGCGAGTGCCAGCTCGACGCGGCGCTGTGCGACTTCGCAGACAGCCAGTTCTTGGATGGAGAAAGCTGCAACTTTGGCCAGAAGCTCCTCGCTGCCTTAGAGTATCAGCGGCCAGAAGGAGCCAGGGAGGGGAAGCTTCACCTTCCCCGGTTCCACCGGTGTCTCAAGGGGTGGAGGCGCATGGCTCCCACACAAACACGTTTGCCGCTCCCAGAGTTCATGAAGTCCTCGATCTCGGGGGTGATGATCGCTGCTGGTCGGAAGGAGATGGCGCTCTTCAACGAGGTATCGTTCAGCACGTACGGTCGGCCGGGCGAGTTGCTTCGCATGAAGGCGGTGGATTTCGTCTCCCGCAACAACGAGTACAATCACTCCGTCCTGGTACTTTCGCCCTTCGAGAGGGGCGAGGGGAGCAAGACGGGTGTCTACGACGAGGTCCTCATCTTGGACGACGTGAGGGCGCCTTGGTTGGAGAACCTGATGAGGTGCCATGTGGATGCCCGTTTAAAGGCCGGAGAGGAGGTGGACATGTGGAGCTTCAAGGCGTCGGACTTTCTTCAGACATGGAGGATGGCCGTGGAAGCGCTGGAGATCCAGGAGATCGCCCTCAGCCCCTATCAGAATCGCCATGGGGGAGCAAGTCGCGATCACTTGATGCAGTTGAGGAGCATAGGCGCCATACAGAGGCGGGGTCGATGGGCTGTGGATGCGAGTGCGAGGATCTACGACAAGCCAGGGAGGCTCCAACAGGTCCTGAACAAGTTCGGGAATCGCTTGCAGCAGTATGGGGAGACGGTGAGGGTCGACTTTCACCGCTTGTACCTCAGTGGATCCAGTCAGCTGCCGGCGCGAGTGCGGGCACGGATGAGCAAACTGCTGAAGGGCGAGCGATGCTGAGCCTTTTCGGTGGGGCGGCAGAGCCGGCAAAAGCTTGGGCTCGGCGTGGGGGACACGCCGCAGTGATTGATGTGGCGGGTGACCCTGCCAATGACCTGTCCAAGCCGGCCCGGTGGAACATTCTGGCACGCCACTTGCATCGTTTCAGCCTATTGGGCATTGACCTTCCCTGCAACACATGGTCGCGAGCGCGAAGAGGGCCACCAGGTTCCTGTTTCCCCCAACCGCTCAGGGGGGATGACGCACACACCATTTTGGGTTTGCCTGACCTGAGTGAAAAAGATGCGGCGACAGTCAAAGCAGCAAACCGCATGGTTATCGGAGCATGCAAGCTGATCCGTCGGGCGCTTCGTCTCGGCATCCCCGGGTACCTTGAAAATCCCATGTGTTCCAGACTGTGGCTTTGTCCAATGATACGCAAACTCCTGCAGGACACCCGCGTCACCGTCGTGAAGGTGGACATGTGTCAGTACGGGACTCAGTGGATGAGGCCTACGAAGTTAATGGTCTGGAATGTAAACAAGTTTGACATGCTTCGATGCCGAAGTCGTGGAGTTTGTGACAGAACCAGCAAGGCACATCTTGTTCTCACAGGCATCTCCGGCAAGCGCTTTCTCACAGAGCACGCCCAGGTCTACCCGAAAGCATTCGGCGAGGCACTTGTTCAGTCTCTGTGGCGAAATGCCCACATGCAGCAAAGCTGGAGTGACATATGTCCCGGGAACTTGGATGGACCTCTCTCGAGCAGATGCCGGAGGTCCATGACTACAGACTGACACCGATGCCGGTGCTCTTTCATGCAAAATCGGTGGAAGTGATGTGCTAGTGAGGGCGCGCAATCATGTGTGCACTTTAGTGTGTTTTTGATGCAGCGACCGGGATTCTGTTGCATTATTCCTCAAGGATTCCTGCTCTCCCACCCACCCTCCCAAGGGGGGAACGTGGGCACATGCAGCAAAGCTGGAGTGACATATGTCCCGGGAACTTGGATGGACCTCTCTCGAGCAGATGCCGGAGGTCCATGACTACAGACTGACACCGATGCCGGTGCTCTTTCATGCAAAATCGGTGGAAGTGATGTGCTAGTGAGGGCGCGCAATCATTATAAACCCTCAACCCTAAGCCTTATAAAGCCTTCAGACTCAAACTTTAAACCCTCAACCCTAAGCCTTAAGCTGTAAGCCCTAAACCTTAAAACACTAAGCCTTAAACCCGAAACCTCGAAACGCTATAGCCCTATAGTTGTTAAAACCCTGCACTGGATGAATCCTTAAACCCTTTTTAGGCCTTAAGTCTAAGCCTTAAACCTTGAGACCCAAAACCCTTAAACCCTAAATCCGAAGCCTTGAAACCCGAAGCCCTTCAACCTTCACACCCTAAAACTGAAAACCCTCAACCTTAGACCTTACACGCTAAACCTTAAACCCTCAAGCCTCTCTTACTGTACCTATTTCGGTCAGTAGGCCGCCGGTGTTTTTCAACTCGGCACCACTGTTTTTCCATTTCTGGTCAATCGGTCAGGGCCTTGGGGTTGAGGACCTAGGGCTTAAGGTTCAGCGCCCAGGGTTTAGGATTGAGGGTTTAGGGTTGAGGGTTTACGGGGGCATACGGTTTAGAGCTTTCGGGTCCGGGGCATGGGTTTAGGGCCCTCGTTTGGGGCTTGGAGTTTAGGGCCGTGGGTCTTAGGGTTTAGGTTTTAGGGTTTAGGGTTTAGGGTTTAGGATTATAGGCTCGATGGACACAGAAATGTCCGTAACAAAATGGCGCTTTTGCAAAACATTCTCGCATCAACATGGCGTTTTTTCTCCTTGACGTATAGGCTCGATGGACACAAAAATGCCCGTAACAAAATGGCGCTGTTTCTTCTTGACGTATGTTCGACGGACACAGCACTGTCCACAACAAAAACGTATTTGTAGCAATGCCCGTAGCAAAAAGTCGATTTTTTCTTTGCGCAAAAGAATGGCGCTTTTCTTTGCGACATGTGTTCGACGGACACAGAAATTCCTGTAACAAAATGGCGGTGCTGCAAAAAATGCCTGCATCAAAATGGCGCTCTTTCTCTTAGTCTTTGACATGGGCTCGACGGACACAAGAATGCCCGTAACAAAATGGCGCTGTTTCTTCTTGACGTAGGCTCGATGGACACAGCAAGGTTCAGAACAAAACTGTGCTGTTGCAAAACGTGCCCGTAACAAAATGGTGTTTTTCTTCTTGATAACAAAACTGTGATTTTTGCAAAGACAGCTCGCCAGGAAATGGCACCGTTGCAAAACATGGTATGTGGTAATTGTAAGTCGGAGAATGCAAACTGGGAAATACAGTGAGCCTGAGTGGTGCAGTGACGTTGCGAGGATGCTGAGTGCGTGCATGAACCAGTGAGCCAGTTCAAAATTTAAATGTGATCGCACATGACTGAATGAACGAGTGACGGAATACTCGTGCCTGTCCTCGAACAGCCGAGACGTCATAATATGCAACAGGTGTACGTAGGCTTTCAAGGTTTATAAGGTTTAGGGTTGAAGGTTCAGCATCAAGTCCAAGCCTTCAAGTTCACGCAACCCATAAGCATCCATAAACCCCCCTAGGCCCTCAACCCTAAACTCTAGGCCCTGAGCCCTAAACCTTCAGGCTGCCCTATGTCAAAAACAAGCCATTTTGTGACGGAAAGTTCTGTGTCCTTCGAGCCTATGTCAAGAAGAAAGAAGACCAAACGCTGTTTTGCTTCGGGCATGCTTTGCAAAAGTGCCATTTTGTTGCAGAGCTTGTGTCACGAAGATAAAGCCGCCACTTTGTTGCGGACATTTCTGTGTCTTTGAGCCTACGTCAAAGGAAAAATACGCCATTTTGCTACGGGCATTGTTGCGGGCATGTTTTTTTTCCCTTCAGAAGCGCTGTTTTGCTGTGGACATTGCTGTGTCTGTCGAGCCTATGTCAAAAAGAAACAGCGCCATTTTGTTACAAGCATTTTTGTGTCCATCGAGCCTATTTCAGGAAGAAAAACACAATTTTGATGTGGGCTCGTTTTGCTAAAGCATCATGTTGTTACGGACACTTGTGTGTCCATCGAGTCTGTGTCACAAAAGAAGACGTTTTGCAAACATTTTTTGTCGATCCAGCCTATTTATGTCAAGAAGAACACAAACCATTTTGTTTCGGGCATCAGCGTTTTGACACGGACGGACACTCGCTCACACGCATTCTCTCACATGCATTCGCACTTAAGCCCGTACAGCACTCGCTCACAGCCACTTGCGCTCAAACCCTAAACCCTAAACCCTGAACCCGAAACCCCCACACAGATTGCACACACATGCTCGGACCGACGTGTGTGGCTCACGCACTCTGTCTCACACTCACCAAAAGCTTCATTTGCAAACTCGCATTCACGCCCACACGCAGCAACACACGGATTTACTTTCCTGTGCGAGCTGTACAATTTACAAGGATAGTCAAGGAAGTTTGGAGGGCGATGCAGAGCGTGAGAGCGCGAATGAAAGCGTGCGACAGCGTGATGGTGAGCGGCTGCCCTCAAAAGCCGGTGTAGGCAAGCCACTCAGAACTCGTAAGGTGCTGTGGATTGTGGGTGTGTGATCGTTGAGGCGCGAGTGTCGGTGTTCGCAGGCGCAGAGTGCGTGGGTCATGGTGATAGCACGTAAGAGCATGATCAGCTATGTGAACGTGAGTGCAATGTTCAGTCTGAATGCGCCGGAGGTTGCACGTGCCGGCGTGGGCCGGGTAAGGGCGAGGGCATTGGTGAGTGTCAGTGCGCGCGTGCCCAATTTGCAGATGGCGATGGTGAGTTCGATTGAGTAAGAGCGTGATTGTGTTTTACCGTGACTTTGAGTGCGCTGGCGCCGTGCGCATGATGGTGTGCGATGGCGAGCGGGAGTGTGAGAATGGGGTTGAGTGCGGACGTGAGTGTGGGGTTGAATGATCGTGCGGTTGCGTGCACCTGCGTGAGTTTTTGATCTAGTGCGGTTCCTTGGTTGCGTATCCGTTTTCATGTAACAGGCGTGTTTGGGTTCGATGTTGGGGACTGGGATAAGTTTCTCCCTAAACCCTAAACCCTAAACCCTAAACCCTAAACCCTACTGTACACTTTCAACCCTAAACTTTAAACCTTAAACCCTAGACCGCGGGAAATGGTCGCCCCCTGAAATGGTCACGGGAAATGGTCAAACCCCCCAACCCCCGAAATTCAGTCACGGAAAATGATCAAGCCCCCCCCCCTCAGGAAATGGTCACATGAACTGGTGGTCCGAGGGTGGGGCGGGATGACTGCACGGGAAACGCTCCGTAACAAAGTGGCGTTTTTTTGTTTTGAAGGGGAAACGCTCCGTAACAAAGTGGCGTTTTTGTTGTTGAGGGGGGGAAGCGCTCAAGAGGTGCTCTTTTGTTTTGAGGGGGGAAACGCTCCGTAACAAAGCGGCGCATGTTTTTGAACGGGAAACGTTCCGTAACAAAGCGGCGTGTTTCTTTTGAAGAGGAAACGCTCCGTAACAAAGTGGCGCGTTTTTTTGTTTAAGGGGAAACGCTCCGTAACAAAGTTGCATTTTTTTTGAAGGGGAAACGCTCCGCAGCAAAGCGGCGTTTCTTTTTTGAAGGGAAACGCTCCGTAACAAAATGGCGTGTTTTTCATGCGGAAACGCTCCGTAACAAAATTGCGTTGTTTTTGTTCTTAAGGGGACACGCTCCGTAACAAAGTTGCGTTCGTTTTACTCCGTAACAACGTAAATTTGCTTTTTTTGAAAAAGAAACACTCCGTAACAAAGGTTTCCTTTTTGAAGAAAAAACATTCCGTAACCAGATGTTTTTTTTTAGGGGGAAGAGCTCTATAACAAAGTGGCGTTTCTTTAGAGGATTCGCTCCGTGTTTTTTGAAGGGGAAACGCTCCGTAACAAAGTGGCGTTTTTTTTTTTGAGGGGGGAACGCTCCGTAACAAAGAGATGCTCTTATGTTTTGAGGGGGAAACACTCCGTAACAAAGTGTCTTCTTTGAGCAGGAAACGCTCCGTAACAAAGTGGTTTTTTTTCTGTTTTTTCTCAAGGGGAAACGCTCCGTAACAAAGTTGCATGTTTTTTTTTTGAAGGGGAAGCGCTCCGCGGCAAAGTGACGTTTTTTTTGAAGGCAAACGCTCCGTAACAAAATGGCGTTGTTTTTGTTCTTAAGGGGAAACGCTCCGTAACAAAGTTGCGTTCGTTTTACTCCGTAACAAAGAGGGGTGTTTGTTTTTTGAAAAAGAAACACTGCGTAACAAAGTGGCATTTATTTTCTTTGAAGGGGAAACGTTCCGTAACCAGATGGCTTTTTTGGGGGGGAAGAGCTCTGCAACAAAGTGACGTTTTTTTAGAGGATTCGCTCCATAACAAAGTGACGTTGTTTGTTTTTTTTGTTTTAAGGGGAAACGCTCCGTAACAAAGTGGCGTTCTTTTTGCTAATGGGGAAACGCTCCGCAACAAAGTTGCGTTTTTTTTTTGGAAGGGCAAGCGCTCCGTAACAAAGTGGCGTGTTTTTTGTTTTTCTCGGAAGGGGCCTTTATGAAGTATAATGTTCGGATGTGGTGGGATTTGTTGGGCTGGCAGGTGTTGAGCGAATGGCTGTATTTGATTCTTCACGCTCAAAACTGCTGAACCTTAAGCCTTAAACCCTGCCCTAAACCCTAAACCCCAACCCCAAACCCCTAAAACTCATCCATCTTTCCTGGATGAAGGTGGAAATCATAGGTGTGGATTTTGAGACGTTCGGCCCTTAACTGCAAAGGACAGATAGGTGTGGGGTTAAGGCTTTAGGTTTTAGGCTTTCTCGGTCCAGTAGGGGGTCGAAGTGGAATGAAACGATTCCCATGTGTGTGAAGGACTTAAAAACCCTTTTCCGCATTTTTGTTTGAGGGTTCAGGCTTCCATCTTATGGGTGTAGGGTAAAAGTTCAAGGTCTTCATCTTGTTTGGCGTTAAAGCTTCGGTTCGCCGTTTTTGGTTTTGGGTTTCATTCGTTATCAGGTCCTTATATCCCTAAACCCTTGAAACCCTAAGCTCAGACGGCTCTAACAACCCCAAGCTCCTAAACACCTTGCTCAACCCCACAGTTCGTACTGGTTACAGAACTGCTCAATGGTTTACTTCGCGTTCCCATCATTTCAGGGGTGGATTTGGGACAGGCCGCCGGAAGCAACTCGGCCCACAGCACGACGACACGCTGATCTCCCTGGGCAAGTTGCTTCGCTGTTTTCGCTTGGGAGCGGCAAGGGCAGTCGTAGGGCTCAGGTTTCAGATGCAGCTTTGTGACTGGCCTGTGTAATTTTGAAAGGTGATGAAAGGTGTTTGGCATGAATTGTCCAACGCAAAGCAGTTACTGGCTCCAGAACCCTTCGCGACAAAACAGTCGGTCAGCCGAAGTACAGTGAGAATCACGGATGTTGTTGCGATGGTCGGGATCACATGGCTATAGTCCGTCGGGCGTTTTGCGTTCCTGTCTTGTGTTGGCAACGATGCCCACACATGTCCAAAGTCAAGGGTTCAACTAGCGACGACCTAAACCTCCATGTTGAACCCTATTATCCTGAACCCTGAACCCTACGGCAGGATCCTTGTTTATAAACATGTTTTTAACCCCAAGGGCAGAACCTGAACCGACGTAGCTGAAACTCGAAACTTGCATGCCCTAAACTTCGTGCTGCTTGCTACCGAGCCAACACCGAAGCCGAAGTTGTCAAATCAAATCTCATGCTGATGCTAAGGGTTCGGGGTTCAGGGTTGAGGGGTTAAGGGTTGAGACTTGAGGGTTTAGGGTTGAGGGTTTAAGGTGATTAGGGTTTATGGCTGACCATAGAAGGTTTGGAGGTTTAGGGGCTGGAGGTTAGGGAAGACGATCCTGCCAGCTACTTTTAGGATCCGCAGCTGTGATTTTAAGGATTGCGGGTTTTTTTAGGGTATAGGGTTTAGGGCTCAAACCATTGCAGGGTTTGTGAATTTTCAGTGTCTGGGTGCAGAGTTTTTGGGTTTTTGTTGCTGTTTGGGTGCCCTTCGACGTTCGTTTCCCAACATACCCACATCCGCCCATATGAGGTTAGCATGCTTTCTCGACGATCATGCACGCCCGGCGGCGGAGGCGCTCCCTGAACCTTACTACACGCAAGCCATCTGGTAACCCACAAGCCCCCCCATATACCGTATAAATACTTATAAGCCCTATGAACCCTGTATCTAGATCTTTTTCAAGCACCTGGGTTTTGCGGCTGGTGCTGAGCACAAGTCTTGGTACATGTCGGCCAGAAGGTAGTTTCAGGGGACAGGGTTTCAAACCCATAAACCCTATGAACTGTGAAAAAACATATCAGCCTTGCAAACCCTTTAAAACCATATAAAACCTTGTGAACCCCCTACAAAAGCCTATAAACCCTAAAACCATATAAGCCTTTGCAACCCTATAAACCCCATAAACCCTAAACGCCCGATAAACCCCATCAACCTTGTAAACACTGTAAACCCTATAAACCCTCTAAAACGTTTTATAGCCACAGAACCGCGCGCCCTGTGCTCGGAAGCCGCACTCCATGGCACGTTCGCGCGGCCTCCAGAGGGTGCAGTGAGGGCCTAGTGCTACGGTTTGGGATTTGTCGCTTATGGTGCAGGGTGCGGTTCAAGGATTAGGGTTCAGTTCAGTGTTGCCCAGGGCGAGTTTGATGATGTTGCACTGTCTTCTGTATGGCGCCCCCCCCCCCTCCGCCCCCGAAACAAATTTGGACTCTATAAACGCATGGCACGGCGACCCCCCGAACAAATGGGGCGGGACCGCCCTCAGTGCCTTAAGCCTTTAGGACCTCAAGGCCTGAAACTTTCCAGCCTTTAAGATTCCTGGCAGGGCCTCAAGCCTTACTGCGTAAACCCTTAACCCTAAACACAAACCTTGAGAGAAAAAAAAAAAAAAAAAACGACAACAACTTGGTATTATAGAGGGTAGCCAGAGAAACTTACGAAAGACAGCCTGACCGGCCCGTGGGCTACCCTCGTTTCGCAATGAAATTCCACAAGGCTTGTCATGGAACTGGCCGGGCTTAGATTTTTGGATTTTCCGCGCTCTGGCTTTTTAAGGTTCCTGGAGCCCAAGGCCCTCAGGGCCTCAAGCCGTACTGTGTAAGCCCTTAACCCGAAACAGAAACCCTCAAAAAAAAAACAACGTCCGGAAACAACATGTGATCATAGCGGGTACCCGAAACAAACTCGGTTCGCAGAAAAAACTTTGGAAACTTGTGACTGCAGACCCTCCTTACACTAAAGTCAGTCCAACATAAAAAGCATGCCCCCACCCTTGTGTGCTGTTGTTGCTTCCGGGGCAATCCGCCAATGTTTTGTCAAGTTGCGGGTAAGTGTGGGTGTGTGCGCCATGCATTGCACCCGGGCTTGGGGTGGTTGCACCCGAGACACCATACGCAAGCGAGCTCTTTGGGCATTTCGTTGCAATCATAGTGTTTGCTTGGTGGCGTTGACCCCGCGCTCGCGCAGCAGAACCACGTCACTCAGATAGCACTTAGAGTTTGTTAGAGACGCCTGGCACATTTGCAGAGCTTCCAGGAGCTTGTCTGCATGAACTGAGTCAGAGTCAGATTGAACCTGGCCAAGTTATTTTTGTCCGTGGAAACTGTGTTTTCTTTGGCTAGCTTGTAAGCCCTTGTCTTGTGATGCAGGTCCAAGCACGGCGAAAAGGACAATCCCTCTTGGTCTTTCTCTCTCTGCCAATGCCCCGCCCAATTGCGATCTATATTATCTATATATGAGCCCGTTTGCGTTCAAGCAACATGCTGTCTGATACGTATGCTTTGCATCAATTTGCGATGGAGGATTCGGAAGGTCGACTCATTGCGCCTTAGGCCGCCCTAGCCGCTTCCGGATGGGGCCCATGGGTTTAGGGTTTTGGGTTTAGGGTTTAGGGTTTGGGGTTTAGGGAGCATCTCAGAGCCCAAACTCATAGGTTCCATGGGAGCGGTGCAGAGATTGTTCCCAATGAATCCCGCTGACACTGCTACGCACATAGCAGTGCCGTCCGCAACCCCAAGGGTCCATGTACCTGAACACGGAATACTTGGGCTTCAAAGTACTTCCTATATGAGGACTTTGGGATTTGAGTTTATAACTAATAACAAGGTACATGGACCCTTAGGGCAATATCATACATCTACAGTCACGGCTCATCACGAGTCAATGTCAGTCGATTGGAAAGGTGTTGAACTTGGATGGGCAGACTGGACAGCCTTGCAGTGCCGCAGCTTTAGCAAGGAATGCTATCGCATTTTATGTTTTTACCCAAGCTGGTCTTGATGAGCGGGTATGAGGGTATAAGGGTACAAAGGAATCAGGGTATAAGGGTATAAAGGTACAAGGGAATCAGGGTATATGGGTATAAGGGTATAAGGGAATCAGCGCACAAGGGAATAAGGGAAAACCCTAAACCCTGAACCACAGCCCATGCTGCGCTGCCATGTACGTGGCTCGCTTTGCTTCGTTGCATGCTGGACTTTGACCCTTAGTAGCTGAATGGCTACACTTTTCACATTTTTGGGATATCATAACCCCTTATAGAACTGAAAGCAGACACCTTTTGGGGGGGCTTATGAACCCTAAACCCTAAACCCTTATAGAACTGGAAGTGTGCGCCTTTTGGGGTGAGTATGAACCCAGCAACTAAGGACCTGGGCAGATGGACCAGCTGTGTCAAGCACAACCAGCCCAACCGCCTTGAGTGCTCGGGTCATTCCGTCTGGCCCAGCATGTACATGCACGATCTTGACGGGCGTGAATTTGTATTGGGCTTCTTGTCTTCCGAATCATCCAAAATGTCCGGAGGTTTGTTCTTGTCTATTTCAATCGACTTAGTAGTAGAGTGTAGAGTAGGTAGCCGTGAACTAACGCCCTTCTAGTCCAGAGGTTGACCTCAACCTTTAGTTCCCCTATCTGGACAACTAAGCCGACGGATTTCCAACGATTTCCATGTGCTGCGACCCTAAACCCGAAACCCGAAACCCTAAACCCTAAACCCTAAACCCTGCGATCTGAGGAGTCTCTTGAACCTGTCGTGAGGAAAAACAACACGAGGTTTCGGAGCCCCACTGTCGAATCTTGGCAATGGTCCGCAAGCGTTTTCGTTTTTTTACCCGCCATGAAAGTTTTTAAATTTGATTGATTTGAGTTTGTATTCAGTATACTGTAGCTGAATGATGACTTTCAATGAATTTCATGTAATGTCGGAAGAGAGGAAGACGCAAATCCTAGGAAGCATCATCTGACGCAGGCATTTCACTTGCCCTGCCTGTTGAAATCCGTTGAGACAGTGTGCAACTGTCTGGAATCCCATTGATGTACTATAGGGGTCGGAATAGTTACTACCGTAGTGATATCCCCTTATGGTTCCATGGTTTTTTACGAGACTAACCCTCCCCCAGGAAAACAATCTCCAAGTTTTCAGGCCCCTACATTACAGTAGTGACATGGAGGATTCCGAGCGCATGTCAGGACGGCCATGGCTTGTTGCATGGCTTGTTGTTCCAGCACGCAGCAAAGGGTTGAGGGTCGAGGATTCAGGGCTTTAGGAATTGAATGTGTTTAGGGTTTAAAATCTATAGCTTAACAGAATATGACGTGTCCAAGCATCCGGGGTCGCATCACCCAGCCCCGAGTCAACAAAACTGCCTATCAGTACTGGCTGAGTATCTGTGCGACGGTCTCGTCCGAAGTTCACGGAATCACCGGACAACTTATGACACACACACACACGCTCTGCTCGGTCACCCGACAACTGGTAAAACAAAAATGCCACGGCAACATTGTTTTGGCACGCTGCGAACGTGAAACGTTGATTCAATCAATGTGCATCGTTGTGTGTAATTTGTCTAGCATTCCCCCTATTGCATCGAAGATTGAAGAGAACATGTTCACTCGTATAATTCACAAGGCATGGAGCAGGATTTGCATATATGCATGTGAGTATATCAAATATGATATGTATGACATTGAATATGGACATCCGCCAAAATACAAGGCATCCATACAACCGAGATACATCTACATTACTTTTATTTGTGACGACGTTACAAAAGCATGGACCAACACCTTTCCTTAACAAACTGTACCTATGGATTTACCGGAAAGTGGTCCAGACGCCTTTTGTAAGATTGGTTCCACTTGAGAGAACTAATGTAAAGATAGATAGCACGTCGCCATGCAGCATGCCATCGAATGCAGCTTGAAAGCATTCTTGTGCCGGCGCTCAAGTAGCGGTGTGTATGTGAGGGAGACACCCCAAATGGAGGAGTCGACGACGGTGTTTGCTCCGGTGGTGTCTCAAGAAGCTTGTGAACAGTTTTTATTGAATTCCACCGCGTTCGTGGCTTACAGCTCCTTGGCCACAAATTCTCGCATCTTACGTGCATGGAAGACGTGTTATTTAGGTCAACCTCAGGAAAAACGCAAAGTGTAAACCCTAAACCCTAAGGCTTCTATGAGGACGGCCGGACCTGCGAGTTGCTTTCAGACATTTCCGAGATGGTTTCGTCCAGCTTTTTTCAGAGCGGAGCAGCCGTGAAGGCCAGGGAGACGTGACAAGGGTTTAGAGGGTTTGCAGGGTTTATAGGGTTTAGGGTTTAGGGTTTAGGGTTTAGGGTTTAGAGGGTTTAGAGGGTTTGTAGGGTTTATAGGGTTTAGGGTTATAGGATTTATAGAGTTTATAAGGCTTGCACAGGCGAAAGGGTGCTGTCCATAGAGACGGGTTTAGGGTTTAAAGTTTCGGGCTTAGGGTTTAGGGTTTTAGGTTAAGCGATCAAGTCAACTGCTAGCGTTGTTTTTAGGCGACAGTTGCGTGAATGCTTGGGTTTGTTTTTTGGGTACAATTGTTCTTTTTGCACCAACATTCCATGGCATTCCCGTGTTTCTCTGCACTCCCCCGCGAGGAATTTCCTTGGCTGTGCAACTTACATTGCCAAGATGAACCTCGATGGACCAATGGTATCATCCTGGTATCAAGGTATTTGAGTATCTGAATGAGCACCCTTTACACTTTTCAGGATACTATAACCCCCTATAGAACTGAAAGTGTGTTTTTTTTTTTGGGGGGGGGGGCTTATGAACTCAGCAACCCTTAAACCCTAAGCCCTAAGCCCTAAACCCTACTCCCTGTACCCTAAACTAAGGTATCATACGGGCGGCTGCCAATGTTGCATCAACGATTGGGATGTTTTACCGAGAACAGGGCAGCAGCACTACCTTTGTTCATCGGAGGCTTGCCAAGCCCCTCGGATGCCAATACTTAGGGTTTAGGGCTTAGGGCTTAGGGCTTAGGATTTAGGTTTAGGGTCTAGGGTTTAAGGTTTATTTCGTTTCAGCCACCATTGTAGCTTCCACATGTGATCCCGGTGCGGGATGAACCAGACTGCGCTGGCCAGAATTGGTTATCGCGTTCTTAAGGTTTAGGGAGTGGTTAGGGTTTAGGGTTTAGGGTTGAGGGTTGAGGGTTGAGGGTTGAGGGTTTAGGGTTTAGGGTTTAGGGTTTAGGGGGGGACATGGTAAGCACCTTTGCACTCATGCAATGATGGATTTTGCTTCGACCTGCGAAAAAGACGACGGTGAAAAAAACCGTTTAACATTTGAGCGTTGTCAGGGAGAGATTGCAAGTTTTGGTAGCCCAGGGGTACCCTTTTTTCCCTTTGTTGGTTCAAGGTTCCCCTATGGTAACCAGCCCAAAACAAGGGCTACCAAGAAGTTGTTTCTTCAAAGACTGTTTTGTGTCTCAGGTCTGTGACGGCACTGGCACTTCCAGCGCCGTCCGTGCCGCAAAGCTTGGCATTGTCTGGAGCTGGCGACTTTCTCTGCCGTGGCTGGCGCTGGCCACTGCAAGTGTCCTTGCCGACTTGTTTTGAATGATGGCTGCACTATGGAAACGACTCTTTCACCCAATTCTCCCTTGAAGGGACAGTACGAGAAAGTCTTCTAGCATGTCAGCGTTGCTCCGGTCAGAATGACAGAGCTGTACATTCTTCTTGTCCTTCGCCTGATGTCTATGAGCCAAGTTGCATATCGGAGGTTCGCAAAGCTGTGAAAATAACATCAGATTGCAGCTTGCTGGTGGCTGTGATTGATGAGGCCAGTGCTGCACAACTTTGCCAAACTTTGCCAAAACAGACCCATGAACTCTTACAGGCCCCAATATAACCTAACCCTCAAAAACCCGAAAGCCCTGAAACCTTACAACCCTAACCCTTAAACCCTTAGTAGCTGAGTGAGTACACGTTTACACTTTTTGAGATACTAAAATCCCCTACAGAACTGGAAGTTTACACTATGAACTCAGCAACCCCTAAAGTCCTAAACCCTAAACCTTAAACCCTAAACCTTAAACCCTAAACCCTAAACCCTAAGCCCTAAACCCTAAGCCCTAAGCCCTAAGTCCTAAGTCCTAAGCCCCTGCAACGCTGAACCCACGAAGCGCTGCAGGTTGAAACTGACAATCATGAGGAACCAGTGGGGGGTGGAAGGGAGGGGAGAGCCAGGGGCCGATGTTCCTAAACCCTAAACCTTAAACCCTAAACCCTAAACCCTAAACCCTAGACTCTTATTGGGGTGTTGTTACAACGTAATTAGTTGGGGCTCTCAAGCACTTATTCAGGGACTCTGGGGCCCTTACACAGCCCCCCTCCCTTCCACGCCTTTGGTTTCTTTCTGAAACAAACCCTAAGGGTCCATGTACCTCATTATATGTACCTGGGCCCTAAAGTACCCAAATAGGACGTACTTTAAGGCCCAAGTATTCCCTATTTAGGTACATGGACCCTTAGGGAAACACAAGCCAGCCACAGCACTCACGTGGCCATGGTTTCCACACGTTTCGGGTCTATAGGCTTTGTAGGGTTCATGGAGCTGTAGGACTTGCAGGGTTCATAGGGCGTTATAGGGCTGACAGGGTTTACAGTGTTTAAAGGGTTTTCCGGGGTGGGTTTGTCTACGTCATAGCCCCTGTTGAGGTTCCGATAAAATTATATGTTTAACTCAAAGTTTTTAGTTTTTAGGGGCATGTAAGTAAACCCTAAACCCTAAACCCTACACCCTAAACCCTAAACCCTAAGCCCTAAATCCGTTAAGGGTTTTGAAAGGAGGGCCTATTTTTTTGGGTCTTTTTTTTTTTGGGCATTTTTTTTTTTTGGTCGATTTTCTTGGTTTTTCCTAAGAAAACCACCATTCCCTCCATATTTTTAAAGGATTTGATGCATTTTCGTGGTTTTTGGTACGAAAAACAGTAATTTCTCTGTGGTTTCATAGGAAAGCGTTATTTCTGGTACGTTTTAGAAGGAAAGAAGGAAAGAAAGGAAGGAAGGAAGGATGAAAGAAAGGAAGAAAACAAGGAAGGAAGGAAGGAAGGAAGGAAGAAAGGAGGGAAGGAAGAAAGGAAGGAAACAAGGAAGGAAGAAAGGAAGGAAGAAAGGAAGGAAGCAAGGAAGGAAGAAAGGAAGCGTGCTTCGAAGCCCAAGAAACTAGTTGAAAAACATCGTGTGAGCATTGTGTTTGCAAATGGGGGGGGCTGCGCCCCCCCCAACCCCCCCGCTTTTTTTGTTTTTTTTTAAGCCGTGCAGAGCGTGCGTGCTTCAAAGCCCAAGAAACTTGTTGACACCCATCATGTGAGCAGGGTGTTTGCAAATGGGGGGGGGGCTGCGCCCCCCCCAACCCCCCCCGCTTCTTTTAAGCCGTACCAAGCGTGCTTCAAAGCCCAAGAAACTAGTTGAAAAACATCGTGTGAGCATTGTGTTTGCAAATTGGGGGGGGGGCTGGCGCCCCCCGCTTTTTTTAAGCTGTGCAGAGCGTGCTTCAAAGCCCAAGAAACTTGTTGACACCCATCATGTGAGCATGGTGTTTGCAAATGGGGGGGGCTGCGCCCCCCCCCAACCCCCCACCGCTTCTTTTAAGCCGTACCAAGCGTGCTTCAAAGCCCAAGAAACTAGTTGAAAAACATCGTGTGAGCATTGTGTTTGCAAATGGGGGGGGCTGCGCCCCCCCCAACCCCCCCGCTTTTTTTAAGCCGTGCAGAGCGCGCTTCAAAGCCCAAGAAACTTGTTGACACCCATCATGTGAGCAGGGTGTTTGCAAATGGGGGGGGGCTGCGACCCCCCCCAACCCCCCCCGCTTCTTTTAAGCCGTACCAAGCGTGCTTCCCAACCCAAGAAACTAGTTGAAAAACATCGTGTGAGCATTGCAAATGGGGGGGGCTGCGCCCCCCCCAACCCCCCCGCTTCTTTTAAGCTGTACCAAGCGTGCTTCAAAGCCCAAGAAACTAGTTGAAAAACATCGTGTGTGCATTGTGTTTGCAAATGGGGGGGGGCTGCGCCCCCCCCAACCCCCCCGCTTTTTTTAAGCCGTGCAGAGCGTGCTTCAAAGCCCAAGAAATTTGTTGACACCCATCATGTGAGCAGGGTGTTTGCAAATGGGGGGGGGGGCTGCGCCCCCCCAACCGCCCCCCCGCTTCTGTTAAGCCGTACCAAGCGTGCTTCAAAGCCCGAGAAACTAGTTGAAAAAAAAGTATGAATCCGATGAAAATATAGAGGGAATGATAGAAACCAAGAAAACGAACCAAATAGGGTTTTCCCTAGGACAAACTAAGGAAAAGCAACGTGCGCTTTGACGTTTGACGAAATCCGTCCAAAATGTAATCAGAAGAGGGTTTCCTTAGGAAAAACCAACGAAAACCTCGTTTTTTTTTCAAGCCGTGCAGAGCGTGCTTCAAAGCCCAAGAAACTTGTTGACGCCCGTCATGTGAGCAGGGTGTTTGCAAATGGGGGGGGGGGAGAGGTGTTTTCCCCCAACCCCCCCCGCTTCTTTTAAGTCGTACCAAGCGTGCTTCAAAGCCCAAGAAACTAGTTGAAAAGCATCGTGTGAGCATTGTGTTTGCAAATGGGGGGGGCTGCGCCCCCCCCAACCCCCCCGCTTTTTTTTGTTTTTTAAGCCGTGCAGAGCGCGCTTCAAAGCCCAAGAAACTTGTTGACACCCATCATGTGAGCAGGGTGTTTGCAAATGGGGGGTGGCTGCGCCCCCCCCCAACCCCCCCTGCTTCTTTTAAGCCGTACCAAGCGTGCTTCCCAACCCAAGAAACTAGTTGAAAAACATCGTGTGAGCATTGCAAATGGGGGGGGCTGCGCCCCCCCCAACCCCCCCGCTTCTTTTAAGCTGTACCAAGCGTGCTTCAAAGCCCAAGAAACTAGTTGAAAAACATCGTGTGTGCATTGTGTTTGCAAATGGGGGGGGCTGCGCCCCCCCCAACCCCCCCGCTTTTTTTAAGCCGTGCAGAGCGTGCTTCAACCTAAGGGAAATTACAGGAAATCCGTCCAAAATGTAAAAAAATAGGTTTTTCCCTATGAAAAACCAACGAAAACCTCAGGGAAATGACAGAAAATCCGTCCAAAATGTAAGGAAAGTAGGGTTTTTCCTAGAGAAAACCAAGGAAATCGACCAAAAAAAAAATGGCCAAAAAAAAAAAAAAAAGACCCAAAAAAAAACTCCACCCGTTTTGAAAGCCAGGAGCCCTTAAATTTCTCGTCTCCAGAATGGCGCTCGGAAGTCCTGCGCCCGAGCTCATTCGGCTGCAAAGCGCGATCAAATTTCAAGCCTACAGCATGTAGGATGCAGGTTTAGGGCTTATGGGGTTCAGGGTTTAGGGTTTAGGGTTTAGGGTTTGGGGTTTTCCAGACATCTCTTCACAAGCCATGCTTTTTGTGCTGAGTAGGTTGCTTGCCCCTGTTGAAAAGCCGTGCCTGCGGATCATGGTGGGTCTCGGGCCACTTCCCGACATCCGGGAGACTTCGCTGCCTGCTGGCATCACGCAGGAGGCAGAAGATGTGGGGATCAGAGTGTATGCTTCAATCAGGCCTGGGCACTAACCTAAGGGACCAACATGTCAGTTTAGGGTTTTGTAACCCTAAACCCTAAACCCTCAACCCCAAACCCTAAACCCTGAAAAGACATGGGTGCGAAGGCGCAAGGTCCTGCACGTGTCTGCGCAAGGGAACTGAAAACGGGATGGGAACCCAGCTCTCCACTATGCCCCCGCACCATTTATCCTTGGGGCTTCAAGATTGGGTTGGGGTCGAGGGTTCAAAGCCACGCCCTAAGACTAAACCGTTCTGTCCTGAACTCTCGACCCTACCACGACATCCTACTGAAGCCAAAACGGCAAGCTGCGAGCTCCAAGACCACACGGGCGCGCCAGGAGTGGGAGAAGTCGTTCAAGTCTTCCCTCAAAGGCCATTTCAGCAGTCTGCCTTGTGTTACTAGAGAACCCTCAACCCTTAAACCCCTGGAGGATCCCTAGATCCCAGTCTCTGGGATCATAAAGGGCAAAATAGGCAACTTCCCAAGTACGCAATCCTGGTTTACCTTCTTTAAAGGGTTACAGGGTTGTGCAGTATTTGCCCTTTGGTTTGATAGGGTATATATGTATAAGAGGTATACAAGGGACCATGTAACTACCCTTAGACCTACGCTAAACCCTAAAAGCCCTAAACCCCGACCCCTATCCCTTACCTTAAACCCTATAACCCTAAACCCGAAACCCCAACCCTAAACCCCAAACCCCAAACAACGAACCCCGAACCCTATCCCTTTGTTGCAGGAACCCCCGCAGCCTCCCCAAAGACCAAGTGGCCGCAGAATCGAACCCCAAAGCGCAAGCCCCCCGAAACTGTTTCGGGTTTAGGGTATAGGGATGACTCGACTCCCGAAATGGTTACCCGGGAACCCTCAACCCTCAACCCTGGGCCCGAATAGCCCCTAGCCCTAACCCTAAACCCAAACCCTTGCTTCCCTGAAGAGGCTCATGCTCCCCTATTGAAGCTTACGAAGGGCTAAACTGGTCCATATATGCGCGAATCCCAACTCC